GCAAGGGTAACATAAGAACGATACCAGCTGGGAGCATGTTACAAAAGCCAATAGAAAAATACTAGATCATGACTTGTAACAAGATCAAAAGATCTGGCTTTGGTTTTGTGGCTTTTTAATTTTTAATACATGATACATGGCGAAAAGTATATTTGCTGGAAGAAGAACCAAGGACCACCCCGTACTACCGACCCAAGGAAGCCACTAGCAAGCTTTCTCACATAAGTTGGCAGAACCGGGACTCGAACCCACTCGAACAAAGGTGAGATGTGAGTGATCTGCAAAGTCGAGCACCTTAGACCACTCAAACAACTGGGGCCTTACATACCAAGAGAACAATACATGCTTAAGACATTCATAACTGTCAATAGATCTGTAACGATATTTAACGCGGCCAATAGAACAATAGCGCGTTGGAATATGTAACAAAGCTAGTCGAACAATAACAGCTTAGGAAATATAACAAGGCCATTAGAACAATTTGAGCTAAGAAACTGTAACGATGCCAACATAATGCAAGTTATCATTAATCAATGTTGTATAATGTTATAATTCAAAATTCAACTTGGTTACCAAATTAAAGCTAAGTGTGATTTGGTTAATAAACTTGAAACAGTCCATACCAAATTACAAGGCTCATAATAGTCTGTTGATTTCTCGTTACAAAAAGCCCAAAAGACCCTCTATAAGGTCCCCATAAATCCCATATACAGCATGTCATAGTCTCGTAAAGTACGAGTTATCTTCTGTGCAATGATCATATCACAATTATAATTAAAGCAATTTACTTTGAGTGACGATTTTTGCGAACTAAAAAGTCCTAAATTGCGAGGGTATGTTTTTAGAACTCGTGGATGGGCGTTCGGTATTTGGCAACACTATTAAATAACAGTTTTGTTACTTTATTATAAAATAGTCTACATGAATCATATGTGAGACAAGTACGTGTTTTTTAAGATTTCATTTATGTGTTTCACTTTTATATTCTTTATGAATGTAAATATGTAAATACATAATTAGCAGAATGATTTGCGAGCGAGTTGTTTCTTTTCTTGGGGAATCTGAAGTCAATATTCCATATACGCAAATGATTGTTGTTGACGTCATCAAGAATGAGTTGCTAAATCTATAAAGAGAGGAATTATAATACAAGTAATCAAACTCAACGAATGCGACCAAGGGTGAGTTATCATAGCACATGCAAATGCAATACATTACTCTGTTGCCTAACTGGTAAGTATTTTAATTAGTACCCAAAATGAAATTGTCTATCTAACCTGAAGCTATTCTAAGATTGTTGATACAATTTTGCAATATAATGTAGCCATTAGTACGAACTGTACTGCGGTTAGTATGTCTAAGCAGTTCATACGATAGTAATAAAGCTAGTCAGTATGTCTAAGCAGTGCATACGATTGTAATAAAGCTAGTCAGTATGTCTAAGTAGTGTATACGATATTAATAAAGCTAGTCAGTATGTCTAAGCAGTGCATAAGATAGTAATAAAGCTAGTCAGTATGTATAAGCAGTGTATACGATAGTAGTAAAGCTAGTCAGTGTGTCTAAGCATTACATACGATAGTAATAAAGCTAGTCAGTATGTCTAAGCAGTCTATAATATAGTAATAAAGTCAGTAATTCTAAGCAGTCCATAAGATAGTAATAAAGCTAGTCAGTATGTCTAAGCAGTGTATAGGATAGTAATAAATCTAGTCAGTATGTCTAAGCAGTCCATACGATAGTAATAAAGATAGTCAGTATTTCTAAGCAGTCCATAAAATAGTAATAAAGATAGTCAGTAATTCTAAGCAGTCCATACGATAGTAATAAAGCTAGTCAGTATGTCTAAGCAGTGCATACGATTGTAATAAAGCTAGTCAGTATGTCTAAGCAGTGTATACGATAGTAATAAAGCTAGTCAGTATGTCTAAGCAGTCCAATCAATAGTAATAAAGCTAGTCAGTATGTCTAAGCATTGCATACGATTATAATAAAGCTAGTCAGTATGTCTAAGCATTGCATACGATTGTAATAAAGCTAGTCAGTATGTCTAAGCAGTCCTTACAATAGGAATAAAGCTAGTCAGTGGTCACACAATATTTAAAGTCTCTTACGTGAATTAATAAAATTGGAATTAGAAAGATAATCTGAAACAGTAGAATTGGAAAGATAATCTGAAACTATTAAAGTTTAAATTGAAAATAATAGATCATAGCATAATGTCTGAAATATAAAAATAAACATAATCTTGTCCTCCTCATATTCAGTAATTTATTTAATATTGGCACGGTCATCAATCTACCAGGATCTTCAGAATTTACTGTTCCTGTCTCTAGAAACCTAATATAAAGGAAATATCGTACTGCTTATTGTCGAATGTTTGCCAGATTAATTAAGTCGAAGATGGTGATGAATGAATGACGTATTTGAATGACCACTATAGTAAATTACTATGTCTGCCGGTATACATAAAAATAACAAAAGATTGCACACAAAAAAGTATTGAAATTGTGCCGCAACATTTTGGCTCTGATTCCGACACTTTGATGGTTGCGCACCAGTTAAATTAGTTTTTAAAAGGAAAGATTTATTTTTCAGGTTTTGAATAACAATGCCTGATTGAAACTTTCGTCTGCTGAGTGATCGTATCTCCAAATGAAAAATCACGGTGTCATGTGATCATTTTTGGCGTCCAATACTATTCCACATCATATATATTCAAGAGTTAGAGAAGAATGGTACCTTACTATTTGACGATGAACTACTCCAGTCCTATATGTCGAGTAATCCTTTGTACCGGCACTAAGAAATCAACTTTATTCTTTGTTTCGTGCCAAATATCTCTCAGGTGATGATAAGATATAACTGTGATTAAGGACAGTACGTATTACTATTTTGGAGAATGAAATGAGTACGTTTTGTGTATTATAGCTTGGTGTGTATTAGTGAGTGGCGTTTATTAATGGGTGGTGTGTATTATTGTGTGGTGTGTATTAGATTGTGGTATGTATTAGTGCGTGACGAATATTGATGTGTGGTGTGTATTCGTATGTGGTGTGTATTAGAGTGTGTTGTGTATTAGTGGGTAATGTGCATTCGTGTGTTTGGTGTGTTTATTCGTGTGTTTGTGGTGTGTATTAGTGTTTGTGATGTGTATTAATGTGGGGTATTAGTGTTTGTGTGGTGTGTATTGGTTTTGTCTGGTGTATATTCATGTTTGTGATGTTTAAGTGTGTGTTGGTCTAGGTGTGTATTGGTGTGAATGGTGTGTGTATTAGCTGTCAGAGCAATATACAGTATTGCTCACATTGAGATAAGCTCTCGAACAAATTAATACAACTTGATCTCGGCAATAGCAGCATCAAAGGGCGCAACAAATCAGTACATCAGATGCGTATTCGAATCAGCAACAAATCAGTACATCAGATCCGTTTTCTAGTTAGCAACAAATCAGTACATCAGATCCGTTTTCGAGTTAGCAACAAATCAGTACATCAGATGCGTATTCGAATCAGCAACAAATCAGTACGTCAGATCCGTTTTCGAGTCATCAAAAATCAGTACATTAGATCCGCTTTCGAGTTAGCAACAAATCAGTACATCAAATCCGTTTTCCAATTAGCAATCAGTACATTATATTCGTTTTCGAGTTAGCAACAAATTAGTACAAAAGATCCGTTTTTAAGTTAGCAACAAATTAGCACAACTAATCTGTTTTCGAGTTAGCAACAAATCAGTACATCAGATCTCTTTTCGAGTCAGCAACAAATCAATACACTAGATTCGATTCCGAGTTAGCAACAAATCAGTACATCAGATCCGTTTTCGACTTAGCAACAAATCAGTACATTAGATCCGTTTTAGAGTTAGCAACAAATTAGTACAACAGATCGGGTTTCGAGTTAGCAACAAATTAGTAGAACAGGTCCGTTTTCGAGTTAGCAACAAATTAGTACAACAGATGCGTTTTCGAGTTAGCAACAAATCAGTACATCAGATCCGTTTTCGAGTTAGCAACAAATTAGTACATCTCATCAGTTTTCGAGTTAGCAACAAATTAGTACAACATGTCCGTTTTTGAGTTAGCAAGATTCAATATCATTGTAATAATCAATCTGTTTCTTTGAAACAAATATGTGGTGTTCGAGCAAAGTAGAAAATCTTTGAAATACAGCATATTTTATTTTTTATATTATTAGCCAAAATCATGACTAGATCATATGGTTGTGTCAAATTAATAACAATAGCATATTGTAAATTAATTCATTTGCTGGTCAATCTTCGGCGTCTTTTCGTTTTCTTGCAAGTAAAAGTTATCTCTTTTGTCACAACTAGAGAAAAATATATTGCACGCCATCGCGCTGTCAAACTGGTAATCTAACGGAGTGCAACGAAGGGAGCATGTGAAGCAGTGAACCAGACTATTAAATTGGTATCTATTTCATAATTAAAACAACTTGAATCAGTACAGCTTATATGGCTCAACATAGCAAATCCTCACATCTACTACCAACAACACCGACTTGAAACCTCCTCCCCTATGTACATTACCCGATAGATATCGCCTTAAATATACCTCATTAATCTCATTACTTCGTTAAAACATGTCAAAGGACATGTCACTCTTCATGTTATCTAGCACTGTAACAAATTAGTAAAAATCTGCCACATCCCTGACTTTCAGCTTTTTGGTAAGCTATCAAATATAAAATCCAGTCGAAGCCAAAGCACTTTCAAAACCTTTGATGCGACAAAAATGATAACATGCTTTGGTATGCTCTATATTTAGCCACCGCCATGCCCAAGATGAAACTGAAAAGCTGAACAAACATAGAAAAGGTCCAAATGTATGACATAATAACTCTGCACGGAGTCTCAGAAACGGTTACGGTGGAGATGAGGGGTTGAATATAAATTTTCAAAAACAATACTGCCGGCATACATCCCATAATATGACACTCACTGGGTTTCAGAGTCGCGTTATGAACAGCAAGTGCACCGCTCCTGAGGCTTAGTGGTTAGAGCTGCCGCCTCGGATGCGGAAGGTCATGGGTTCGATCCCCTGTCGAGTCATACCAAAGACTTATAAAAATGTCACTAACAGCTGCCTCGCTTGGCACTCATCATTAAGAAGTTAGTGTTAGGACTGGTCGGCTTGTTGTCAAGATAATGGGACTGGGTGGGACCTCATGCTACATGTATGTGGCTTGATGCTTAAGTGCTAGACATCACTACAAACTGCCACACTGCAGACATCATAGTGATATGACTGAAAATTTGTTAAAGCTACGTTAAAAATCATAATCACATAACATAATCACATGAATAGTAAGACAGTTATTTGTTTAGAATGGGTTTCAAAGGCCACTAATTTAGGTAATACTAAAAGCGACATAGTTACTTTGAATCCTGCACTGAAACAACACTTCTCAGTTTGAAGTTTAAAATCTATTCCATGCTCAAGTACTCTCAAAGACATTTGTCTTAACTCAAGTACTCTTAAAGACTTTTGAGCTGACCCAAATACTCTCAAAGATCTTTAAGTTGATTTATGCTCTTAATGACATCTGAGTTGACTCACATGATATCATTCTGTGATGTCCTATTTTTGAGTCGGTTGTGCCATTTTAAGCTTTGATGAGTCCTTTGGGGACCAGCCCGAAACATTTTACATCTATCATTTCTTTTATTAATATCAAAATAAAAATGACAAGCAAAATCAGCAAAAGAAAAGAGCATTATATATATATATATATATATATATATATATATATATATATATATATATATATATATATATATATATATATATATATATATATATATATATATATATACTGACCTTTTTGACCTTGTCCCGGTGTTCTTGGGTCCAAGGATCTCAGATAAATTTGGATATCATTTTATAATCCATAGGGACATCGCTTGCCACGCTTGGACAGCTGTTACAGTAGCAAGGACTACGCCAAACATACAAATGCACGTCTGTATGGACAGACCAGAAAGTAAAACTTATATTTCCATTCTTTTTCTCCAAAAGAGTGTGAACCAAAAATTGAAATCTATCGGTAGTTGCCTCATGAAGTTTTGCAGATACACCGTGAATACATCTACAACATGTGTCGTTTAGAAAAAGAAATGCATTCTACCTCAAATTCTTCTCTCCATTAATCGAAAATATACCGGAGTACCTTGTCCCATTTAAAATATCCAGTTTTCGTTTGTATTATTGTTATTGTTTGTTTGCTTTTTGGTATAGTTTTTTCCATCATTTAAAGTAGAGGGGTATATTTCTCTATATGTTTCCTGTGACTGGACCAAGTTTACTTTTCTTGGCCTTTTATGCCTCTGTCTTTTTGCTCACAGAATTAATGGACAAGTCTACATCTCGACATTAACTGTATTATATATAACGCCAGAGCTGTCATATCACGTTTCGAAGCAATTACTTTTCCTATTTAGGAAATATATTTGCCATTATGAATGAATCCCAAAAAACATATAAATATATTTCCATATTCTGATCCACTTAAGTTTTGTTTTTCTTCTACATTTTCTTCTCTCTCCCTGTCTCTGTATACATACACACACACACACACACACACACACATATATATATATATATATATATATATATATATATATATATATATATATATATATATATATATATATATATCAAGATCGAGAGCGTTTGTTAAATTTCTTAGTTTGAATGACATAACATGTTGTCCGTTAAATCTCGTGATTCGTCGAAGTTGCAAACTACTTCTCAATCATTGCAGTAAGTGACGTATTACTTCAGAGAGAGAGAGAGAGAGAGAGAGAGAGAGAGAGAGAGAGAGAGAGAGAGAGAGAGAGAGAGAGAGAGAGAGAGAGATTTATAGTGTCTCTCTCTGTGTGTGTATGTATATATATATATATATATATATATATATATATATATATATATATATATATATATATATATATATATATATATATATATATATATATATATATATATATATATAGGTAAGACTGATTTGAGATAAAATGGAAACTTGTGAGTCTACCATTCGATTTTATTGACATGATTGCGCTGGCGATGGCGTCAAACAACACATAGGACATATCAAATATTATTTTGTTGTAGATATCGAATACAAGGATAGTCCCATGTGGCGAATAGAAAATTTACAAACTGAAGCTGCATATAACAAAATCATTGGAAATCAGTGTAATATAATTTGGTTTATCGAATTGCAGTAATTTCGTTGGTTTTGTTGAGTAGCAAAATATTTGTTAATAATATGCGCTAGTCTCTATTTTGTAAAGCAGCGGTTTAAACGTATCGGCTTTGAATTTCGTATATCATCTATTGTTGTCGATAAGGTATGTTACATTTGAATTCAAAGGATACACCAACACCAAGTAAGGGTCTCACATCTATATGCAAAATTAAGCTAAATCGTCACAGAAACCGAAACCAGCTTTGCTTGCAGTACTAAGACCCGCTGCATAACTGCATGCTCTCCCAATCTGCTCTAAACTTAATTTCACTCTTTTTATTTCTCATTCAAAAGCCTTCTGTCTTAACTCCAATTATCTTTCATTTTTCTTTGGGCTAGGTTTTCGCTTTGTTTCCTTGGGTGGTTGTATGAGTCCAAGGTCAAGTTCCTGTTGGCACTCCAGAATCTCAGTATCTGTAAATTCCATCAAATTATGCGCTGCAACATTTCCTCGAGGTCGTCTTGAAGCAACCGTTGCTCCCTCACCTTGAACATTATCAGCAGCCGACATAATGACAAACTATATGTACGTACTGTAAGTGTGTTCTATTACTATATTCACAACCACTTGACTAGCTTTTTTATCTACGAATTTCTGGGCTTATACGTGGTTCACTCGTTACGAATCACTTAACAATCAACAAGGGTACGTTATTCATACAGTGCAACCAGTCACTGCTAATATCACACACAAATTCGCTGAATCCACATCTTCTAGAATTGTCAAATACAATTTTAACGTACTGAATAATTCCAAATAATTCACACAAAATTATTGGATTCATTTTCGCTGCCACCAAAATGTTTACATTCGGGTTCAAAGGACACACAAACACCAATAAAGGTTCCACCAGTTTTATGTAAAATAAAGCTAAAATCTTCCCAAAAACCAGCACATGTATTGCTTACAGTACCAAGCCCTGCTACATACACTGCATCCTCTCCCACTCTGCTCGTATTTTAGTAAGAGTTGGAGATAAGAGTTTTTAATTACTTAAACAGTTGTGCCTTACCCCAAGGAATGAATTGGTCCAAACACATTTAGCCATGGGAAGATAAACAAAAGAACCGAAATAGATGACAGCCTCTGGTATCGAAAATCCAGAATGCTGGTATTAATGTTCTGGTCAACTGTCCCTATTAACAGTTAGAATCTAATACAGGCACTGGGAGAGAGATCATTCTGATAGCAAATATTAAAATTAACACCCCTTCTAAAACAAGGAGAATTTGAATTGTGGTTTAAATTTCAGCTGAAGAAGTTAGCAATATCCTAGATTTGTCGAGAATTCAGGCGACTGAAGTTCTCAATATTTTTCCTAAAAAAGAAAGTTTCTATTATTTTGTTAAAAAATCCGAAATGCGGTAAACAGCTTTAGACGAAAGATAGAACTATTAGTAGATCGCTTTACAAATGTTCGATTATAATGATTATGTGTCGTATAATAAGAAGGGATGTTATTATTCCATCACGTAATGCAGCTGTTGTCTGGACCTTAGACCTTTGATTGAGTGAATAAATCGCAACTTTATCTTAAATTTTCGTATATATATATATATATATATATATATATTATATATATATATATATATATATATATATATATATATATATATATATATATATATATATATATATATATATATATATTATATATATATATATATATATATATATATATATATATATATATATATATATATATATATATATATATATATATATATATAAATGGAATTTAGAATGAAAGTAGTATTGACTAATGAAATGTTGACTATTCATAGAATATAAATTTATCTGCTTTTCAGAAACAACAACAACAACAATAACAATAATAATAATAATAATAATAATAATAATAATAATAATGATAATAATAATAATAATAATAATAATAATAATAATAATAATAATAATAATAATAATAATAATAATAACAATAGTTACAAAAGAACTAACATATATAAATAGGTTACCTAAGTTTTGAATAAGGACTAACATCAGGGCCAATTCCGGTCAGGTTTTGGGGTGGGGGTGGGGATTGATTTAAAATGTTAAAAAAAGGTTTGACTTTTCTACAAAAGGTATGAAAGGAAAGTATGCGTTTCTATTTAATCAAATGATGCATAATACCAAAAATAAAAAACGATGGTCAAATTTCTACTGGCAAATGGTTTATATGTGTATACAATGGTTGAAGTTGGGGTGAGGGTGGCGTTTTAAACTCTGGACATACATTAATAATTATCTAAATCTTGAATGACAACTAATATACATATATAGGTTAAGTAAATCTTGAATAAAGCGCAGAGAGAAAACGAAAGATCTGAACAAGAATGATAGTTTATCGATTATTAAGGTAGCATTAACGTGATCGGTTATTCAGGTAGCATTAATGTGGTCCATTCGTACTGGTGCTTACGATTTTCGCCGCCGTCAGGGACTTATATCGCTGTCTATTCGAAAATAGTTTTAACAGTCACGTCTTCCTCAACCGTTTTGACAGAGCTAGTAAATTCATAAAAGACAAACTCATTTTGAAACGTTGTCTAAATAGTCTTAATTCTATATAATGTCTGTCTGGTCATCAATTTGTTTGGAAGAAGATTTATGCAGCGTTTCCTTACAAGATTTCGTACGACTGACACTAACGGGATTTTATATCCAAATGTTGTCGAAACTATGCCAAATTAATAACACCGTGATGGACAAAAACTTATCAGAGACATACTTTCGTCGCCGAAAATGAAATATAGATTGTTTCTTTACATAATGCAGCTAAATATAGCCTAAACAATTTT